ACACAGATGATGTACTTTGTACAGCCTACTGTAACAGTACCAATGGTAGTCTAACCATCTAATGTACAAAACAGAAAGATAAACCACAATATTGTTGGTATGACAACATCAGAACCCTTGGTATGCCATCAAAAATGTTTATTCAAAAAATCATAACTCAGGAACCAAATGGTGAATTTTTTTAAAAACCGGAACATTTCAACTTTGTATCGACAAAAAAAGAAAACAATTCTGTAAGAGGGAACTATTCCAAACAAATTTGATTGATTTTTACGAATTCCCTCTTAAAGAATTCTTTCTTTTTTTGTCAAAAAGAAGATTACGATACAAAGTAGAAATACTAAAAATTTATGATATTTCAAGAGCTTTACACTGGGAAAACGTAATGTAGCTAAAACCACAGGCTTCCAAGCCTCTCAGTTTGTGGATTGGGTGATGGACTTCCTGTGGCGTTTATGGCTGACTTCGGCCATTTAATTACCCGTTGAAGTAGGTAGTTTTGAACCCGGCCGGACCAACACTCCGGGTCTGAAAATACTAACTAAGGAGAAAGTGTTGCCTTTGTAATATCATCTGCAAATGGTTAGACTTTCAAGTGGCTCGGATGACCACTCTAAATGGCGGTCCCGTCTCTCCACACTCATCATTACTAACCAACATTGGAGGGACGTCAAAGAACCACTGAGGACGTAAAGAAACCCTGGCAGTGACCATCCTCAGTGCCTACACCTCATACTAACATACTCTCTCTCATGCTTGTAAATTGCATTTAAAAAAAACGGTCATAAATAAATCATAAATTATTATTGTAATGTCCGAAGTGAAAAAAAGTTTAGCTTGGGCTTCCTGTGTCTGATCTGGAAGTACTGATCTGGAACCTGTGTTGTTTTCTTGAAAGATTGTTTCTTTCGTTCTATACAGTACGAGAAGTACAAATTTGAAACTCTATGGGGTTCAAAGCAGAACAGTTCGTAAAAAGTGTCGATGAAAACCTTTTCTGTGCAATATGGTAAGTTTAGTAGGCAAAATAGTGTTCCCGATAACCTAATATTTGTCCTGTTTTTTCAGTCAATATCTCGTCTCTGATCGATTCATACAGACGAGTTTAAAGCCATTTTAGTATTACGACATGCTCTGCTATTTACTCCTGTCAATACTGTATCCTTCTTTTACAGCATGCACTGTATTTCAAAAAAAGTTGTCGGTCGGATGATATCTGAGACTATACGGAATTTGTGCGCTTTTATGTTTTCTGGCTGAAACAAGAAATAGCACATTAGTAACTTAAGGTCATGCTTCATATTCCAATCTAAAAGGAAACTGCGTTGTTCGGCTGTGAATATATTACATTTTAAAGCGTGTTATTAGGGGCTTAGATTTCAAATTTCAGATCGAACCCTCAATAACTCGAACTTCCACCGACTCGACGGCGATTTTCGTTTCCCTTCAGGTCAGTTTTCGAAATAATTTTGCCCTCGAAAACCCGAACCTTGTTTCAAGACAACAAGTCACAACATACGCTAGAATATTTAATTTAATTTAAAGCAACAGCAGTTTGCGAAATACAAATATGAAAGGTGTTAGTTCAATCCTTCGAGAACTCTCTTTTTGTACACGCCATGAAAATACAGAATAAAGCGGAGTCAGTAAAAACTGAAGTACAGTTTCAATGACTAGTTTTTAACAAGCTTTGCTGCATTGCTCTGTGCTACTAGTAGCCAAATAGATACTGTAAATATTGTTCCTATAATTACAGCCATATTCTCAATCACATGCGCCCTCTAGCGATTGTTTCTTTCGCGACGAAGAAGCTTTTGGTGGACGTCAATCAATGCCGGTCAGCCACTTTTTAATAAATCTTTTTAATGTTTTAAGTTGATTAAACACACTTTGCTTTTTTACCGAATTTTTTTCTGCGCATCCTAGAGCGTTACCATCCAAAAAGGAGCAATGGAGATAGGCAGTATTCTCATTAAAAAAAAAAACACTTAAAAACCTCTAAGTAGCAATCCGATGTAACTTAAGTTTTATTTATCTTTTAATTACATGAACTTTCCAAGCACTGAAGTATTTGAAGATCCTGTGAGCTGCAAAGATGGTCACACATTTTGCAAGGGTTGCATTCACAAATGGCTCGAGATAAACAGAAAATGTCCAATGGATAATAACTACTTGACAAAAATATATCTTTTTCCTCAATTTACCGTGAAGGGAATCGTGGACAATCTCGAAGTCTATTGTCATCCATGTGCACAAGCCAAGGCGCCAAGTGAAGGTTAGTGAAGAGTTTGTGGAATTGCCATTTTTTTCTCATGAGAAGGGAGAGGCAATTCCGCATACGAGCAATTATCCAATATTCAAATTCAAGAAAAATGGAATTTTGGTGTGGTCCATGGATGGTTAGTGTGGTAATAGGCAGCTTAAGATTCCCGTTTTTCCTTCCCGCAAACGGCAAACGTGACCACGTTTTCATCGTTTCCCTACGTTTCACTTTACCTTTTGCAAACCTTCTCGACAAAGACAAGTATTCTTTTGTTTGTCTACTATTTGGAGACTTTTGTGATTCTTTTTCACTAATTTTAGAGAATGTTTTAATGGTCAACTGACGTTTCACGTAAACGAGAATCTGAAACTCTCTAGTTTCAGATTCTCCATGGTTTACGGTAAACGTGAAAGTTCATTTGACCATTGAAAATTTCTTTAGTGAAAAGGACTATCACAAAAAATCTCCAAGTAGTAATAAATGCGGAAGGATCGTAATTTGTCTTTGTTGAGAAGGTTTGCAAAAGATAAAGTGAAATATATATTTAAAAAACGATGAAAACGTGATCATGTTTGCAGGAAGAAAGAACAAACTTGTACCATAAAAAGTTTTGGAATTCTGTTTCGTATCGCTTGGCATTACCTCAAAAATCCTATGGAGCCACCTTAGACCAAACATGTAAAAGGGAAATAAACAGTACTATTGGTCGCTCCAGGACGATTTTGCTAGGGTGTATTACTTAGTTTTGGCATTTTACTTTATTCTTTAATTCTTATCCTTCCTATAAAGAGGGTTTCCAACCTTCCATGGCCCTCCGTTCCTTCTCCCCTCCTTCTCCCCTCGGACTGAGCACACACAAATTGCAGGGTGTATTTGTGTGGACTTTAGCTAGTCAAGGGTTTTTGGTAATAGACCTATCCCGAATTCGCTTGACTGACCACGAAACAATGGTTTGAAGTCGAGAATGAACTTGATTTTTTTGTTCATCAAGTTCAATCTCGACTTGAAACCATTGTTTCGTGACCAGTCAAGCGAATTCGGGATAGGTCTATATCTCATATCTTATCATTCTATTTTGAAATATTTCATTTCAATTTTATTGATCAAATACTACAGTGATGACTCGATTCCCCCTCTCTTTATGTACAGTAGGATGTGGCTGGGTCGGAAAACTACAACATCTTGCACATCACAGAAAGAATTGTCAATTCCAGGAAATGCAATGTCCGCACGGATGCTTCGAAAAGATACAGAAAAGAAAGATGAAAGACCACGAAAAGATATGCGACTTTAGAAAAGTGGAGTGCGAAAAATGTGGAATTATCTTACTTCAACTTGAAAAAGAGACGCACTTAAGGGATGACTGTTTACAGGCCCTGATTTTTTGCCCTAACCGATGTCAAGACGAGCAAATAATTGTTCAGATTAAAAGGTAAAGTCGTGCATTTTTTAAAATTAATATTACTTAGAATAGCAAATGATCGCGAATCCCGGACCGTTGTTTAATTAAAACGTATATTTTTTGAGGATTATGGAGCATTGTGGGTCTTGAAATAATTACTAAGGAGAAGGTGCTGCCTTTGTTATTACATCTGCAAATGGTTAGACCTTTCCATGTGTAAGACCAAGTCTTCTCCGATAAGGAGTGGATAAGCAATAAACCGTAGGCCCTGTCTCCCAACCCTCCTAACCTACAGTAAATGGGGAACGTGTTCAATTATTGGTGTAAGATTAGGGGATTGTCTCCCGGTTCAACGGCTGCTAATAATCCATTAATATGCAACCCGCAAAGTCCTCGACACTGGTCGTAAAAGTGAAGCGCTTGAGACCCGTCTCCATTAGCTCAGAGGCTAGAACATCCGACTAGAGTTATGTGGGTCCGAATACCATCACTGACTCAGAATTTCATTTCTGCTATAAAATGGAATAATTAAACAAGTTTACATAAACTAAATAATAGTCTTAATAATAAGCTTGGAGTACAATATTTTTGTACTTTTAATATATTTCCAGAATAAGTAAAAAAGGAATTTTCTCAAGTAAAAATTTAACGAACAGCAAACCAAAATGGGGTTTTGATCACCTCACTACGTGTGGTTCCCCAGAGAACGGAGCAAGGTCCTGAAGCAGTGCCTACGTGGATAGCTTGTGCAACTTATTACAAATTTTTGTGCTTTCCACATTTCCTTGGCGTGCTGTACATTGTCCTACATTTCTAAGCAGAAGACATAGCGCTAATCCAGTCTCCATAGGTTCTAATTCAATCAGGAGTAGCCAGGTTTGGAAGATCGCAGGCAATAGCAGCGTGATAAGCAGATTTAACAGTAGTAACTTAGTATTCTCTTTTTGCAGGATTGATTTAAGTGATCATTTGTCAAAGGTGTGTCCAAAGGCCCTGATCGACTGTCCATATAAAGAACAAGGATGCGTAGTGAAGATTGAGCGCCAAGATGTCGAGAAACACGTACAAGAAAACATGGCAGGACACATGATGTTACTTGCTAAGGAATGCTCGTCGCTAAAGAAGCAGAATGAGTCTCTTACTGATCAATATTCATCTCTTTCCCTGAGGTGTTCCACACTGGACCAAACGAACTTAGAGTTGAAGAAAGAGTTAAAACAATTTAAGGTGAGACTTTTTTGATAATTATTTTTTATAATTCCATGAGGCTTGGCTTTTAGCACTGGCCGAATTTGGTCCTTTCCGACGAGTAAAAAATGTCCAAAAATGGTAAATATGTAAATATCTTATATATATATCTTATATATTTTTATTATATTTTTTATTATTATA